GGATAGGGTCATCCAAATCGCTATTACATTCTTTCTCATGTTGTACATTGTCATCTTTTCTTATAAATTGTGAAATTACCAAAATGTGTCCGCTCTCACATTGGGGATCTTTGTATTGGAATAGTTTTGTTCAGTGTGAACAAAACATAATGAAAATATAGCGTCCGTATCCAGAACAAATTCTGTGTCGAAAACATCATGAATTCTTCATGAAGACTTCATGATGACTTCACGAAGAATTCATGAACATTAACTCATTAAGCCTGAGAGCCCCATCACACCTGGAAGCCCTCGTTGATTGCCCACTCTCTGTGCCCGAGACTAATTAGTGCTAGTCACACCTGATTTCCCTGGCAGGTTTTGGGGATCACAGGAAACTGTCTAGTCGTACAAACAAGTCCTGATTGTTTAATTGTGTCGTAAAGATATATGTTGAAAGAAATCAGGTGTGAATACATGTCGTGTATTGCAAGCTTTATGTAATTTTATTGCAAGTTTCTCTTGTAGACCTTTTGTCGGCTTTTACATTTATATTTTTTCACAATATGCATACACATGTATTCTTTGTATGTAACAGATGAGACACACGTTAACAAATTCTCTCTTATATCATTGTGTGAGGTTTAAATTTACAAAACATCTATGACAATGACATACTGTAAAGAAGAATTTACTTTCATACTTTATAATCTTCGACGAAACTAGCGGTTTTGCCGATACATTTCTAGTGTTTACGAATTATTTTAATGAAAGTACTATAAAGCTAGTCTGTGACTAGCACAAAGCACATTCATAGCATTGCACTTTATTTCATACAGATTTAATGCAGAAAACATCACGTGACCATACAAACATACATATACAAAATGTATACTACATATTCCTTGCATAGACATAAAACAAAGAGTCACGTGATAGGGCGTCATTAAATTTCGAATAGAGCGTTCGGTATCTCAACTGTTCAATGTAGTGGCTGGTCATATGTTATCTGCGACCAATCGTATCATGAGATACCTGTCACAGAGGAAAGGACAGGTGATGGGCGTGGGCGAAATTTCTGAAGAACACGTTTGTTCACTCAGCAGCTTGGATAGAGGTTGGTTATTGGCTATATCCTTGACCAGTCGATATGCTGGGTTTCGCTTTATCAACTCAAGCTATCATGTAACAGTTTGTGTATTGTAAACATACACACTGGTATCTCAACTGTTCAGTATAGTGGCTGGTCATATGTTATCTGCGACCAATCGTATCATGAGATACCTGTCACAGAGGAAAGGACGGAGGTGACGTGGCGAAATTTCTGAAGAGCACGTTTGGTCACTCAGCAGCTTGGATAGAGATTGGTTATTGGCTATATCCTTGACCAGTCGATATGCTGGGTTTCGGCTTTATCAACTCAAGCTATCATGTAACAGTTTATGTATTGTAAACATACACACTGGTATCTCAACTGTTCAGTTTAGTGGCTGGTCATATGTTATCTGCGACCAATCGTATCATGAGATACCTGTCACAGAGGAAAGGACAGGTGACGGGGCGTGGGCGAAATTTCTGAAGAGCACGTTTGGTCACTCAGCAGCTTGGATAGAGATTGGTTATTGGCTATATCCTTGACCAGTCGATATGCTGGGTTTCGGCTTTATCAACTCAAGCTATCATGTAATAGTTTGTGTATTGTAAACACACACACTGGTAACGATGTATGAAATATACACATAAGACAAATAGGAGTAGATAGTCACTTTGGCGAGTTTATTTGTCCTCATTTTAGTGTTTTTCGATAAGTAAAACAAAGCGATTGAAATCCAACCACTGAGTAGAGGTAGTATTTATTTTCATATACATTTTATGCACATAACTAGTACATAAAACATAATGGTTTGCTGTACATGTAAATATAATCTTCACCTTGATACGAATGACTATCCAAACTAGAGTACACGCATTACAGAATTCACGAGGTGCCACTATACTGAATTATTATAGTGTATAAACTTGCAGTTGACACCCCCAATATTTATGAAGGTGGGCGTGCCTATATCTTTACTGAATGCAAAGGAGGTTCATAAGATTACAGATGTGCATGCATGTATAAACATCACAGAGAGGGGCGTGACTCCATAAAGCAAGGTGTCCAATGATATAACAGCGCATCTGTTTATTTTACACTTGTCACGGGACAAACCTTTCAACAAGGACGTAACTACATATGCATTCTACCGGAGGCTGTTATTTCAAGGTCGAAAGAGGCTTTCAATTATCTCATTACTGTAATCTGCTTGAATGATTATACGCATGTGTATCGGTACCGTAACTGATATACTATCCAGCTTTTATTGACGATGGATCAATAGAGACTGAGTTGATTGATACACGTGATAATTGCACCGGATTTGATAATTAAACACAGATCAAATACAAACGTTTTACAGAATGCTCATGTAAATTACATAGAAAACTGACAATTCAAATCAACATGAAACTTTCAACAGCTTGAACAAAAATGCTTGAAATACCTTTGTATGGCTTACATGTAATAACTTATGGTATTACTTCTGTCCATGTGTGACAATGTTTTGAATTACCAACTTACTGTCTTTTGTAACAAACGTAGAAAAACATTTCATTGTTGTAATAACACTGACATGTATATATGTATTCGATGCAAAGTAGCGACTTATCACTTTATATTAAGCTTAGGTAACATTCACGAACTTTAGATTATGGAAAACAACTAGTTACAATTCAGTAAACTTCAAATTAGTAGGTTCAATTATGTTTAATCTATTCGAGCTTGGATGTATAATTACTTGTGTTTATACATTATGTTTCAGTATATGAAACATGACAACGTAATGATGCCTAAAAAGTAAATTCAAACTATTCTATTGTGTTTGAATTCTTTGTATGTCCTTGAAATTTCGTATATTGTTTCCTATTTATTAGGTAGTTGAAGGAAATATAATTTTTAGTAACCTCTAAACCATTACATCTAATTCAATCAAGGTGCATACAAAGTATTTTAGTATCCATTCCCAAGGAAGAGTACCAGGCACTTACCTCTGTAAAAACATCTTAATCCCCTTTCTCGCCGACATGCGTTCATTTGCTAAACGCTGTACAAGCCTATGATAATGATTATCAATTGTTATCAAAACACTTTAAATACTTCTTCTGATTGATACTAAAGGTGGGATCTCTCGTAAGAAAAGCTAACATTTGTTGCTCAGTACTGCTAAATTGGTTGAAATAATAGGTACAGTGCGATTTTTAAAAGTACAACACACATGTGCGTCTCTCGCTGAATAAGAGGTGCTTTCGGTTGACGACTGTATGTGGCCCTCGCTGTGAGAAACTGCTAATTACCTGCCCCATAAACACGTCACTCGCTGTGAGGAGCTGATTAATTTGCCCCATATATGCGTCTCTCGGCCTTAATGAGTTAAATGAGACATCTACTTCATGAAGAGTTCATGAAGATAATTCATGAAGTGTTAATGAACACTTCATGAAGACTTCCTGAAGAGTTCGCGAAGACTTCATGAAGAGTTCACGAAGACTTCCTGAAGAGTTCACGAATGTAGTTTACTCTGGAAATTTACAGTTAATAAGATTAGTCTTAGTTCATGAACAAAAACTTCATGAAGTAAAATATAACTTCATGAAGTGTAAAATAACTACATGAAGTTGATGAAGTCTTCATGAAGTGTGTCTTCATGAAGAAGGTTCATGAAGATTTTAGCTGAAGTTGATGAACACTTCATGAACTCTTCGTGAACTGTTCATGAAGTTCATGAAGAGTTCATGAACTCATGAACTGAGTTTCGCAGGGGTGATGAGTTACATTAACCTAGTTTTAAGCATAGCAGAGTTATGCCTCCGTATCTTTATACGTGTATGACCTCTCTGTCGTCGTTTGCCATCATAGAAGAAAATTCATTTTCGACATTTATTGCAAATCATGAGTGTAAAGTTATGCATACTCCCACAAACACATTATACTTATGTCGTTCAGATATCAGGCTGTATTTTTTCGCTCACACTTTCCGTTAAGATGCCAAATTAAAAAAATCGTAGCACAGTGCTTTTATCGATGAACGATAAAAAGCGGAGAAATTTACTGTTTTTAAACGCATAACAAAATTTTGGACAACCTTTAGCAGTGCCTGTTTTTTTAACTGCCTATATATTGGCACTTGAATGTATACCAACGAATAGGAAATTTAATGTACTACATTTCTGTGTAATTTTATAGCCATACACAGATCCAGGAGTGCGCGAGCGCAATTCTCTTACTACGTTTACTTTTCAAACCTTCTGAAAATGTGCCCCTGAAAAATATTTTTTGTTTGGCACCTGTTTGTTTGTTTGTTTGTTTGAATTTCACACGCTGATTTCAAAGGATAATCATTGTTAACTCTATCAAATCCATGTTTAATATATTGAAAACATGTTCATCTCCATTATGCCTTCAGAAAAAATACAAGAAGTACACATAGCAGGGCTCGATTTAGTGCTTTGTTACTTGCACTGGTGCAACACAATATTACAAAGTGCAACCTAGTTATGAGTCTAACTTGCACAAGGTGCAAGTCAATTTTTGAGAAATAAATCAACAATAAATCTAACATTATAAGCACATATATGTCAGCTCATTTCTCTTCTAAACTTTGAATAGCTATGGTACTAAAACATTGCTATTCATATGTATACACGTTTCAGCTATGACAGCTCTTGTAAACAGGGCTCTGTCTCTGAGTTGCTATGGTTTCATAGGTACTACATCACGGAAATATGTTCATGTGCACCGAAACCTCACACTATGGTGCAACTGGAATTTGGCTGGTGCAACTATGTTTTTATCTTAGGTTGCACCTGGTGCCAGTAGGTTAACCTCTCTTAAATCGAGCCCTGCATAGAGTACAGTAGATCTATAGAGCTGCAAGGCGCTGTCATATATGCAGATAGCACACTGAACTGAACATGGTTGTTTTCAGTACCAGTACAGTCAATCAATGGCTTCTCGAGGGCAACAGGAAACATCAAAGCTGAGGCAAAACATGGAAGAACAACTTGATCGCCTAATGCAGCAGCTAACTGACTTGGAAGAATGCAGGTAATATGCTGCACAGTTGCAATACTTTTCATTCCAATGAGGGGAAAGCAGCAGTGTATGTGTAGGGAATCCCCCGGGGGTCCTGTATTACACATATAAGTGGCAACCTGAACCTGGGGGTCCTGTATTACACATACAAGTGGCTACCTGACCCCCGGGGGTTCCTGTATTACACATACAAGTGGCTACCTGAACCTGGGGGTCCTGTATTACACATACAAGTAGCTACCTGAACCTGGGGGGTCCTGTATTACACATACAAGTGGCTACCTGAACCTGGGGGTCCTGTATTACACATACAAGTGGCTACCTGAACCTGGGGGTCCTGTATTACACATACAAGTGGCTACCTGGCCCCGGGGTCCTGTATTACACATACAAGTAGCTACCTGAACCTGGGGGTCCTGTATTACACATACAAGTAGCTACCTGAACCTGGGGGTCCTGTATTACACATACAAGTGGCTACCTGAACCTGGGGGTCCTGTATTACACATACAAGTGGCTACCTGAACCTGGGGTCCTGTATTACACATACAAGTGGCTACCTGAACCTGGGGGTCCTGTATTACACATACAAGTAGCTACCTGAACCTGGGGGTCCTGTATTACACATACAAGTAGCTACCTGAACCCGGGGGGTCCTGTATTACACATGCAAGTGGCTACCTGAACCTGGGGGTCCTGTATTACACATACAAGTGGCTACCTGAACCTGGGGGTCCTGTATTACACATACAAGTGGCTACCTGAACCTGGGGGTCCTGTATTACACATACAAGTGGCTACCTGAACCTGGGGGTCCTGTATTACACATACAAGTAGCTACCTGAACCATGGGGTCCTGTATTACACATACAAGTAGCTACCTGAACCATGGGGTCCTGTATTACACATACAACTGCCTACCTGAACCTGGGGGTCCTGTATTACACATACGAGTGGCTACCTGGCCCTTGGGGGTCTTGTGTTACACATACAAGTGGCTACCTGGATGCTTGGGGTCTTGTATTACACATACAAGTGCCTACCTGGCCCCTGGGGGTCTTGTATTCATCATACAAGTGGCTACCTGACCCTGGAGTCCTGTATTACACATACAAGTGGCTACCTGACCCCCGGGGGTTCCTGTATTACACAAACAAGTGGCTACCTGAACCCGGGGGGTCCTGTATTACACATACAAGTGGCTACCTGACCCCCGGGGGGTCCTGTATTACACATACAAGTGGCTACCTGAACCCTGGGTTCCTGTATTACACATACAAGTGGCTACCTGAACCCGGGGGGTCCTGTATTACACATACAAGTAGCTACCTGACCCCCGGGGGGTCCTGTATTACACATGCATGTGGCTACCTGAACCCTGGGGTTCCTGTATTACACATACAAGTTGCTACCTCTACCCGGGGGGTCCATTATTACACATACAAGTGGCTACCTGAACTCGGGTGTGTCCTGTATTACACATACAAACTGCTACCTCAACCTAGGGATCCTGTATTACACACACAAGTGGCTACCTGAACCTGGGGGTCCTGTATTACACATACAAGTGGCTACCTGGCCCCTGGGGGTCCTTTATTACACATACAAGTGGCTACCTGGCCCCTGGGGGTCCTGTATTACACATACAAGTGGCTACCTGAACCTGGGGTCCTGTATTACACATATAAGTGGCTACCTAACCCCTGGGGGTCCTGTATTACACATTCAAGTGCTTACCTGAACCATGGGGTCCTGTATTACACATACAAGTGGCTTATTGAACCGTGGGTCCTGTATTACACATACAAGTGGCTTATTGAACCGTGGGTCCTGTATTACACATACAAGTGGCTACCTGAACCATGGGGTCCTGTATTACACATACAAGTGGCTTATTGAACTGTGGGTCCTGTATTACACATACAAGTGGCTACCGGAACACGGGGGTTCTATATTACACATACAAGTGGCTACCTGACCCCCATGGAGTCCTGTATTACACATAGAAGTGGCTACCTGAACCCGGGGGTCCTGTATTACACATACAAGTGGCTACCTGAACCTGGGGGTCCTTTATTACACATACAAGTGGCTACCTGAACATGGGGGTCCTGTATTACACATACAAGTGGCTACCTAACCCCTGGGGGTCCTGTATTACACATACAAGTGGCTACCTGAACCTGGGGGTCCTGTATTACACATACAAGTGCCTACCTGAACCATGGGATCCTGTATTACACATACAACTGCCTACGTGAACCCGGGGGTCCTGTATTACACATACAAGTGGCTACCTGAACCTGGGGGTCCTGTATTACACATACAAGTGGTTACCTGATCCTGGGGGTCCTGTATTACACACACATGTGGCTACCTGAACCTGGGGGTCCTGTATTGCACATACAAGGGGCTACCTCAACCTGGGGGTCCTGTATTACACATACAAGTGGCTACCTGACCCCCGGGGGTCCTGTATTACACATACAAGTTGCTACCTGAACCCGGGGGGTCCATCATTAAAGATACAAGTGGCTACCTGAACATGGGGGGTCCTGTATTACACATACAAGTGCTTACCTGAACCATGGGGGTCCTGTATTACACATACAAGTGGCTACCTGGCCCCGGGGTGTCCTGTATTACACATACAAATGGCTACCTGAACCTGGGGATCCTGTATTACACATACAAGTGGCTACCTGAACCTGGGGGTCCTGTATTACACATACAAGTGGCTACCTGGCCCCTGGGGGTCTTGTATTACACATACAAGTGGCTACCTGGCCCCTTTGGGGTCCTGTATTACACATACAAGTGGCTACCTGAACCTGGGGTCCTTTATTACATATTCAAGTGGCTACCTGGCCCCTGGGGGTCCTGTATTACACATACAAGTGGCTACCTGAACCATGGGGTCCTGTATTACACATACAAGTGGCTACCTAACCCCTGGGGGTCCTGTATTACATATTCAAGTGCCTACCTCAACCCGGGGTCCTGTATTACACATACAAGTGGCTACCTGACCCCCGGGGGTTCCTGTATTACACAAACAAGTGGCTACCTGAACCCGGGGGTCCTGTATTACACATACAAGTGGCTACCTAACCCTGGGGTCCTACACACATGTAGCTACCTGAACCATGGGGTCCTGTATTACACATACAAGTGCCTACCTGAACCATGGGGTCCTGTACACATACAAGTGCCTACCTGAACCATGGGGTCCTGTATTACACATACAAGTGGCTACCTGAACCATGGGGTCCTGTATTACACATACAAGTGCCTACCTGAACCATGGGGTCCTGTATTACACATACAACTGCCTACCTGAACCTGGGGGTCCTGTATTACACATACAAGTGGCTACCTGAACCTGGGGGTCCTGTATTACACATACAAGTGGCTACCTGAACCCTGGGGGTCCTGTATTACACATACAAGTGGCTACCTGAACCTGGGGTCCTGTATTACACATACAAGTGGCTACCTGAACCTGGGGGTCCTGTATTACACATACAAGTGGCTACCTGAACCTGGGGTCCTGTATTACACATACAAGTAGCTACCTGCACCTGGGGTCCTGTATTACACATACAAGTGGCTACCTGGCCCCTGAGGGTCCTGTATTACATATTCAAGTGGCTACCTCAAAGTAGCCGGGGTCCTGTATTACACATACAAGTGGCTACCTGACCCCTGGGGTTCCTGTACACACAACAAGTGGCTACCTGAACCATGGGGTCCTGTATTACACATACAAGTGGCTACCTGAACCATGGGGTCCTGTATTACACATACAAGTGGCTACCTGAACCATGGGGTCCTGTATTACACATACAAGTGCCTACCTGAACCATGGGGTCCTGTATTACACATACAACTGCCTACCTGAACCTGGGGGTCCTGTATTACACATACAAGTGGCTACCTGAACCTGGGGGTCCTGTATTATACATACAAGTAGCTACCCAACCTGGGGGTCCTGTATTACACATACAAGTGGCTACGTGAACCTGGGGGTCCTGTATTACACATACAAGTGGCTACCTGAACCTGGGGTCCTGTATTACACATACAAGTGGCTACCTGAACCTGGGGGTCCTGTATTACACATACAAGTGGCTACCTGAACCTGGGGTCCTGTATTACACATACAAGTGGCTACCTGAACCCCTGGGGTCCTGTATTACACATACAAGTGGCTACCTGAACCTGGGGGTCCTGTATTACACATACAAGTGCCTACCTGAACCATGGGGTCCTGTATTACACATACAAGTGCCTACCTGAACCATGGGGTCCTGTATTACACATACAACTGCCTACCTGAACCTGGGGTCCTGTATTACACATACAAGTGGCTACCTGAACCTGGGGGTCCTGTATTACACATACAAGTAGCTACCAGAACCTGGGGGTCCTGTATTACACATACAAGTGGCTACCTGAACCTGGGGGTCCTGTATTACACATACAAGTGGCTACCTCAACCTGGGGGTCCTGTATTACACATACAAGTGGCTACCTGACCCCCGGGGGTCCTGTATTATACATACAAGTGGCTACCTGAACCTGGGGGTCCTGTATTACACATACAAGTGGCTACCTGAACCTGGGGGTCCTGTATTACACATACAAGTGGCTACCTGGCCCTTGGGGGTGCTGTATTACACATACAATTGGCTACCTGAACCTGGGGTCCTGTATTACACATACAACTGCCTACCTGAACCTGGGGGTCTTGTATTATACATACAAGTGGCTACCCGAACCTGGGGGTCCTGTATTACACATACAAGTGGCTACCTCGCCCCTTTGGGGTCCTGTATTACACATACAAGTGGCTACCTGAACCTGGGGTCCTGTATTACACATACAAGTGGCTACCTCAACCTGGGGGTCCTGTATTACACATACAAGTAGCTACCTGAACCTGGGGTCCTGTTTTACACATACAAGTAGCTACCTGCACCTGGGGTCCTGTATTACACATACAAGTAGCT